GGCCACGGACCTGGGGCAACCAGCACTCTCCTCCACCGGTGTGGTGGTGATCCACTTGCAGGAAGAGCCCTACCGAGGGCTGCGCTTTCCCCGGAGCACCAGTGAAGTGGCTCTGCTGGAGAATGCTGCCCCAGGTATCAGCCAGATGGTGGGGGAGAGCTGGCAGCAGGCAATAGTGTTGTGGGGGGCTCAGAGGGTACTGCAGGGTCTTAGGGAGCCCCATTGACCTTTGGGGATAGCCAGTGGACAGCAGAGCCTGGCAGTGCCCCGAATGTTGAGGGTGGTAATCTTTAGGGATTTGTCTTGGCATGCTCAGGTCATTACAGATGATCGCAGATGTTCCCATGTGAGATGGGAAGTCTCCAGGGTTCACAGACCGTAGCAGAGCTATGGACAGTCCCCAGGAATCCTGGCTCACAGCCCAAAGCTTTTCACTGGATCTCACCCCTCTAGCAGCCATGTCCCCCGGTGGAGCCGTGGCACTGTGGTACAGCACATGCTGCCCAGTTGCCACCTCGCCACACTCTGCCCCCAGGCTCTGCTGCCCCTTCACACTGCTCCCTCCCTCCAGGCACAGAGGTGGTGAGCATCCAAGCTACGCACACGGACGGCTCGTCTGGGCGCATCACATACAGCATCGTCAGTGGCAACGAGAAGAAAGCTTTCCTTATCCAGCCCAATTCAGGTACAGCTCTGGGATCCCTGGGGAAGCAGTAAGGTGGGGGTCACTTGGACTCTGCCTTTGCCCACTCAGCTATCAGAAAGCAGTGAGCCCCCCCAAAGGCCCCAGGACACTATCCCTATGCCACAAAATCAGATAGCTCTAGGTCTTGGACCTGGGCACTGTCCTGTCATCACCCAGAGGTGCTATCAAAGTTCTTGGCATGATTTTGTTCCCTACTAGCTAGAGTTCTTATCAGAAAGATAAGATAAAGCCCAGTTTGGGATTTAGTAGAGGCAGGTGCTGCTGCCGACGGGCTATCCGGGAGCAGCCCCTGGCTTCTGTGGTAAGTCTAGCCATGCACCCTGTCCCATGCTGGGGCCCCAGTTAGGCCTCAGCTGTCCCTTTCTATTATCTGGTGAGCATGTAGCAACCACGACAGTTGCCCCTCTACATTCCCAAAGGTGACACTAAAACAAGGAACCCCTGTCCAGGGGATGTTTGAACGGAAGCCCTCCCTCTGGGCCACTCTGCTCCCTGTGCAGTGATGACATGCTGGTGCTTGTGGGGCCAGAGGCAGGTCTCAGGCTCCTAGAGCTCTTCCAGGCCAGGGTGCTTGTGCTCTCTGTAGCCCATGGGCACTCTGCAGGACGTGGGAGCAAGTGGTGGCACAATGTGCAGCCTCTTGCTGATGAACCACTGGCCATGAGCACAGTGGTAAATGCTCAGCCATGCACAAACGCCTGCAGGAAACCCATGGTAGCCACCACACACCCCTGTGGTTGCCATGTGGGCATTCTCGGCACTTGGCATCACTGTGAGCAGTTTACAGCCTTGGGGCATTGCTCTGAGCAAGCCTCAGTGTAGGCATTGGGAGGCCAGGGGAGAGGACAGCCAAAGACACTGCATCCCAGGCAGGGGGTCCCATTCCAGTCTAAGCAGTGTGCCTGGCCTGGCCGTGACTGCTCTGTCACCCAGCTCCCACCCACACCTCAACCTCTGAGATGAGCTCGAGAGCCTGCTGCTTCTCTGCAGCTCCTGAAACCAGAGCTGAAGGTCAGATGTCCTGAAAGGCCAGGGAGGCTCACAGGGTACCTTGCGCCAGGTCTTGTCCAGATTGAGCTGAGGGGGGCTGCTCTGCTCAGGGATTTCTACCTGTGAAGGAATAACCTTTGCACACCACTAGAGGAAGGCGTTTACCTCAAACTGCTGTTCAGAAGTGGCGGTGGAGCTGGCCTGGAGCTGATATGTTCATGAAGGGCAGGAAGGGCTAATGGGTGGCACCATGACCGATCCCTTCTGGTCTCTGAGCTATCGGCCACAAAGCTCCCACGTGCAGCCAGACCTCTTGGACAATGGCTGCTAAATGGCTGCTGTCATAACCTAGCCATGAAGGCTGCCCCAAGCAATGCCCAGGCTGTCCCCAGGGCCACCAGCACTGTTCCTCCTCCCTGTGCCAGCTCAGAGCTGGACTGTGCAACAGCAGCAGCTGCTGGGTGACCTTGGTCCTCCTGGCCCAAAGAGGCTGTTGCAAATGCTGCAGCCACCACAGCAGCTTTGAGCTAAGTCTCTGTGCAGACAACATGGCTGGGACAGACCTGGCAGAGCCCCTCTCCTCTCGCCTTGTGCGGCAGGGTCTTCTCCCTAGTGTGGGAGGGTGAGACTAAGCAAGCAAAGCCATCTCTGTTGTCCTGGGTGGTCTGAGCAGGGCCGTGCTGCACATGTGGCTGAGGCACTGTCATGCTGAGCTGCAGAAAGATCTAACCTGGTCATAGAAGGGCACTCTGTGTCCTCACAGGGTGATCCCTGTCCCTTCATGTTCCTCTGTCCCATGTTTCGTCAGGCTGTGCCTGCCAGCTGTTCCTGAGCTGCCCTGGCCATGTCTTGGCTGAGCTGGGCTTGCTGTGACAATGTCACTTCATCTTGGTGAGGAAACAGTTGCCTCTGACAAAGTGCCGAAAACACTGGGTTTTATCTTGAGAATGTGTTCTTCCTTGGGTCCCCTTTGTCCATCCATAAAACGCTGCCTGGCTCTTGCAGCAGGCTGGTGCTGGGCTCTGCTCTGGGACTGAGCTATGCTGTCCCCAAGCTCTCTGGTGTCCACAGGAGTGGTGTGAGAGCTGGGCAAGACTGAGGAGTCCTGCCCACTGTACCGAGGTGCCCACTGCGAGGCTGGAGCAGGGGAGCCATGGGGACATCCTCACCTGTACTCGTCTCTTCCCATCCCAGGCAGTAGCAGCCTGTCATAGGGAGGGTTGCTTTGACTGCTTTCCTTGTATTTGCTTGGACCAAGCCCCATATGTGGGGCCTTCTCCAGCAGATCAATAGCACCAGGGGCACAGGGGAGCACAGCTGGCTCGCAGCCCTCCAGGTGCAGGAGCTGAGGACACAGCTGCTCCTCAGAGAAGCTGTAGTCTGCATTTTCCATTCCTAGATGTATGGCCTGGTTTCAGCTGTGTTTATCTGCACTTATGCTATCATGCAGAGCTGGCAGCAGAGCTCTTATGCCAGCTCTGAGCTCGTCTGAGGCCACAGGGCTTTTCTGAATGCCCAGTACTCACATCCCTGCTGCCTGACTAGTTCACCTCATGGTTGCACGTAGAGGCTGAAATAGACGTAAGACTCTTCCCTGGGGCAGGAATTTAGCAGTAGGAGCTCAGTTTCTTCTCATTATCACAGAATCACTCAGAATCACAGAATGGTTAAGGTTGCAAGGGACCTCTAGAGATCGTCTAGTCCAACCCCTCTGCTCAAGCAGGAACACCTAGAGCATGTGGCACAGGACTGCATCCAGACAGGTTTTGAAGATCTCCAGAGAAGGAGACTCCACAACCTCTCTGTGCAGCCTGTTCCAGGGCTCTGTCAGCCTCACACTAAAGAAGTTCCTCCTCATATGGAGATGGAACTTCCTATGTTTCAACTTGGATTCATTACACCTTGTCCTGTCACCAGCCGCCACAGAGAAGAGCCTGGCCCCATCCTCCCTGCATTCACCCCTCGGGTACTTGAACATGTTGATCAAATCTCCTCTCAGTCTTCTCTTCTCCAGACTATACCAGCCCTGCTCGCTTCGTCTTTCCTCATATGATAGATGCTCCATCCCTGTGGAAATGCTGCCAATTGTTTTAGTGGCTGGGAAAGCAACATTTCCTTGCTGTGAGAGCCCAGCACAGTGGCTCAGGAGTATAAGAATGGATACTTGTCCCATGACATTGCTGGGGATATTTCACCAGGCCTAGACTCCTAGACTCATAGCTCTGGTTAGGTGAGTTTGGAGGCTTGATAAGCTTCTTGGGAATATGAGATTTGACATGGGTCATTTCTTTTTTAAACTGGCCATAGTTCCAGTGGGGTCTCCAGTGACAGAATTACTGCACACTTGAGTATAAGGGGAAGCTGAGCAGTCTGATTAATGCACTGGGCAGCTTGGTCAGGATGTGAGTTGTGCACGAGGCACTTGCTTCCAGAGCTAACAAGATCAGGGAATCTCTGAGACACGCGGGGGTACCAGGCAGACAAGAGGTAACACCCCTGGCAGCTTGTTGGGGCTCTCAGCTTGGAGGAGGCTTGGAGGAGCTCAGTATATTTTCCATATCCCTGGGAATGGACAGAGGAGTAGAAGGATGGATTGACCACAGGGGGATAGAAGAGATGGGGCAGTGCCTTGCTGCCACCTCTTCCCTGGCAAAACACCCTGCTGTTTCCCCTCTACTAGGTGCCATCTCAGTTCAGGACTCCAGCAGCCTGGATTTTGAGGCCAGCCCTCGCCTGCGCCTCGTGGTCCAGGCAGAGACAACAGCTTCCTTTGGCTTTATGGCCATAAACCTTAACCTGCAAGATGTCAATGACAACCTGCCACGCTTCCAGCTGCAGAACTACGTGGCGTTCATCTGGGAGTCACAGAGCTATGACTCCCCAGTCATCCAGGTAACTTTGGAGGCAAAGCAGGGACACCTGGACCCTCAGCTTGCCCCTTATGGGCTGAAGGGGTGAGGGTGGTGCTGGGGCTAGGGCTGGGACCTATGGCTCTGTAGGTCTAGCCTGCAGTGCTCTGGTTTGCAGTGCTACACAACCACTGCTCCATGTGGCTTTGCAGGTCCTGGCAGATGATTTGGATCAGGGAGCGAATGGACAGGTGACTTATGCCATCAATCAGTCCTTGCCAATGACCGGCTTGTACCACATCGATCCTCAGACTGGCACCATCACCACAGCTGCCATCCTGGACAGGGAGATCTGGTCCCAGACCCGGTGAGTGGGGCCAGGCCAATTTGTGGCACAGATAGGAGGAGGTCATAGCTATGGAGCAGCATCCTCATGATTGCAGAGGATCCTCTGATCCTTGATGCCATCCAAAACTGTTTCAACCCAGCCTGTAAAATGCTTTTGCCACACAACAGTGGAAAGTAGGGCTCAGTTGAAACATGGGCAGCAAACAGTCCCAAGGGCATGACAGATGGCCATGAGATGAGACAGTGCTCTGCTCAGCCTGATCTCAGCAAATCTGTGAAGATCTTGAGGGGGCAGTGGGCTGCCTTGAAGGACAGTGTCCATTCTCTTTCCTGCCTCACTAATGCAGGCCATGTATCCTAAAGTCTTTTCCCACTCCCACACACTGCACCCTCCTGCGCTATCACATCTTCCAGGAGCTGGGCACTGCCCCAATGCTCTTGCAAGCCCTCTTGTATTAAGCTCAGCTCCTCTGGGCACCTCACCATGTGTTCTTGACATACTGCGGTTGCAGGAACAAGCATGTAAAATAAGGGCACATGCTCCACAGTGACTTCAGGTCCTCTCCCAGCCTCCTGTACATGTGTGGTCTAGACACAGGGCACAAGTGCCACAACTCCACCCCAGCTTATATTCCCCCCATACAAACACTCTGATGTCTGCATAACTCTCTACCTGTTTTCCAGACATGGAAAGGCTTCGGGCATTCATTTCACTCACGTGTCTGTCGCCTTTCCCCACACACAGAGCCTCCGTGCATTCCCCAGCTGTGCTCTAACTCTGCTCTGAATGTTGTAACCTTCCTCTCTGCACTCTCCCAGATATTGTGCCTGCATTGCCCTACTCTCCTTCCCTCCTACTGCCCCTTGCGCAGGCTGCACACTAAGGCTCCTCACCACAGGAGAGTTGTCCCTTGTGCATGTGTCAGGAGCTGTGAACACATCCACTCTCCACCACATGGTCGAGACATAGTGCCCACATCCACTGTCCACTTGCATGTGCCAGGTGCTGGATACAAAAGTGCTGCCCTTCCAACCCTGTGCTCCAGATGCGTATGTGCCGCTTCTCCACGCTCCCCAAACTGTGCACACATCCACCACTGCCCCACACACGTGTGCCAGATGCTGTGCACGCATCCACCCCCAGCCCTTGCAGATGCTGTGCACGCATCCCCTACCACCTGCACACGCGGCAGGCGCTGCACACACATACAGGGCCCTTTGCAAGGTCCAGGCACTGAGCCTGCATGTGCCTCTCCTCACATTTGCAGCCACCCATCTGTGAACCTTGTGGACGGAAGCTGAGTCCCGCCTGTGCTGATGCTATGCCCTTGTGCTTGCTTGCAGTTTGGTGGTAACAGCGATGGACAGAGGGATACCGCCTCTTGTGGGCTCTGCCACACTGACTGTTGTGGTGATGGACGTCAACGACAACAGCCCCACCATCCCCTTACCCTGGGAGGTGCGAGTCCCGGAGAGTAAGTGTTATCTCAGACTCTTGAAGCGATGTGAGCTGCATAGCAGTGGAGTGGAGGCCTGTAGGTGGGGGAGAAGCCAGTCCCTTCCCTTGCTGGAGCCTGGTTTGTGCTGACCGTGCTGGCTGAACTCACCTGTCCCTGGACATTGACTCATCCAGGGCAGCCTGGGGCTGGGGATGAGCAGCCCCCTGTGCCTCAGCTCCATCCTGAGGAAGCCCATCCCACTCCCCTCACATCCTCGGCCCTTGTCTGCACTGCAGCGGCCCTAGCTTCATGTGCCTACTCTCTGACCATGGCATGCATGTCCTCTCCCTGTGACAGCCTCAGCCTGCCCTGCTCAATCCCTGGGAGGTCCCATCACTACCAGTGTCTCCCTGCTGTCCTCAGTGCTGCTGTCTCTGGGCTGGGCTTGGTTCTGACAATATCTTCTCCAGAGAGAGAGAGGGCACTTGCTAAAGCCTTGCTTCTTCCCAGACACACTGCTGGGCACCCAGATAGCTCAGCTGACAGGGAACGACGTGGACTCGGGCCCCGCTCTCTCCTACATGCTGGTGTTGGACAGTGATGCCACAGGCATGTTCAGCGTGCTGCGGTACGGGGGACACGTCGCCCTGACAGGACCACTGGACTACGAGCAGTGCAGCCACTACACCCTCACCCTGCGTGCCTCTGACACCCGCCATGAGACCGAGGCAAACCTCACCATCGTCGTGGAGGACGTGAATGACAATGCGCCGACCTTCAGCCAGGGCTTCTACCAGGTACAGTGCACAAGGGCACTGAGCTCACAGGGTCCAGGCAGCCCAAACCCTCTGCTGTTGCTGCAGCACTGCCTGGCACGACTGACCTGGCCTCACCAGGACTGCCCAGAGCAAAGGGCCCCATGGAGATGGGGCTGAGCCCATCCTGGCCCCTCTCCTCCAGGGCTTCCCCTGCATCCTGTTGCCCCTCATGCTGTCCCTGTGGGGAAACCGGGAGGCCAAGACCACAGAGTGCTGCAGCACTGCAGCTGTATGCAGGCCATCCTTCGATGGGAAAACGAAAATCAGTGGGAGCTGTGTAATGGCCTGGACAAGTGTTTCTGGTGAGGACTTAGTCTGGGGTCCCCCCCCACAGGCAGGTCACTGAGCAAAAGCCTATCCAACTCATGCAATGTGATGCATCTCTGGAGTGGAGATGTGGGAAGCCTGTCTACTTCTGCAGTTGACCTCATAAAGAAGCCCTGTTGGCTACTGCTTTCCATTTTGGTGGCCATGGTTTTAAAAAGGATGTTGCAAGTTCAGGAATAAAGCCAGGAATACTTCAGGGATAGGCAAGCACTGAATCCTGTCTTCTTGCACATGTTCTCAGCTCAGCACACCAAAAAGATAAGGGGTGTTTTGAGTTGTCTAGATTATCTTTTGTAGAGAAAACAAGAGCTGCTAGAGGTCTTTAGTTTAGCAGATAAAGGTAAAAGATTGGTAACTGGGCGATGCCGTTGGTCAGAGGTCCCCCCTGCCAGACTGGGAGGCTGCGCATGGGGGGCAGCTCTGGTGTGGAGGTGGGGACAGTGCAGGCAGGGGCTGAGCTGGGGCAGCCCGGCCATTGAAGGCCCCACAGCTCTGCCCAGCCGCTCCTGGGAGGCAGGGTCCCACTGACTGACCGCGGCTCCATCTTCCTGCAGGTGATGCTGCCGGAGCACACACCCGCTGGCAGCGCCATTCTCACCGTCAGTGCCACCGACCCAGACTCGGGCAGCAACGGAGATGTCACCTACCACTTGGCCGTGCCCAGCCCTGACATCGCTATCGATCCCAGCAATGGTGCGTGGGGCTGGCTGCTCTGTGCAACCCATGCTGTGGGTTGCTGTGATAGTGCCTGTGGAGAGAGGGGCTCCCATGCCAGGCCAGGCTCAGCTGGCCCTCCAGCTAGAGAGGAACCATGGTGGTGCCTAGTGATATGCCCCACTGCAGCACCCTGGATGCTCGTCCCTCCAGGCAATATCCCTGCTACCTTGCATGCTCCCCATTTCCCATCTTGACCCTGGCTCTGTTCCTCCACAGGGACCCTGTTCACCATCCAGCGGGTGGAGTTCGACACCAGCCAGCCCACCTTGGACCTGGTGGTGGAGGCCCGTGACCATGGCTCTCCCAGCCTATCAGCCTGGGCCACGGTGCAGCTCCAGCTGCTGGATGTGAATGACCACAGCCCCAGCTTCAAGGCACCACGCTACAACGCCAGCGTTCCTGAGGACCTGCGCCCGGGAACCACGGTGCTGACGCTGGAGGCGGGTGATGCAGACCTCTCCCGGGAGAACGCAGGCTTTGACTACACCATCGTCAGCGGCAACAACGGCAATGCCTTCCAGGTGGAGAGTCGGGTGGCCTGGGCTGGGGGTCAGCTCCATACGCAGGGTGCCTTGGTGCTCGTGGAGCCCTTGGACTTCGAGGCCATCTCTTTCTACAACCTCACTGTGGCGGCCTCTGACCGCGGGCTGCCACAGCGCAGCGCTACAGTGCCCGTGCTCATCACCGTGCGGGATGTCAACGACAACCCACCTGTGTTCGCCCGTGCTGAGTACCGTACCACCGTGAGCGAGAGTGCGCCGCCGGGCACGGAGCTGCTGCGCCTGGTGGCTCAGGACGCCGACTCGGGGCCCCGCGGCCGCGTGCGCTACAGCATCAGCTCAGGTGACCAGCATGGCACCTTCCAACTTCATGAGAGCACAGGGGCCCTATGCCTGGCACGGCCTCTAGACCGGGAGACTCAGGTGCTGCATTCTCTCGTGGTGCAGGCCATGGATGCACCAGGGCAGCACTTCGCGCTGGTGCCAGTGGCCATTGAGGTGAAGGACATCAATGATAACAAGCCCTACTTCCCAGTGGAGGTGCTGAGCGCCAGCCTGCGGGAGAACCTGCCGCCTGGCACGCTGGTCACCACGCTGCGTGCCGTCGATGCAGACACCGGCATCTTTGGGGAGCTGCAGTACGCCGTGCTGGAGCAGCCGGCAGGGGAGCCTGGCGTGCTGGAGGGCCGGGATGCATTTGCCATCAACAGCAGCTCTGGGGAGCTGCGCTCGCGCCTCACCTTCGACTATGAGCGGGCCAAGGCCTTCCAGTTGCTGGTGAGGGCTACAGATGCTGGCAACGCCTCGGCCACCGTGACCGTGCGGGTGCTCGTGACAGGGGAGGATGAGTATGATCCCATCTTCCTCAGCCCCTCCTTCAGCTTTGAGGTCCCGGAGGGTGCCCGGAAAGGGCAGAGCATCGGGCGGGTGCTGGCGACAGATGAGGATGAGGGGGCTGACGGCGTGGTGCTCTATTCCCTCGCCAAGCCCTCGCCTTACTTTGCCGTCAACCAGACCACAGGCACCATCTACCTGCGGGTGGACAGCCAGCCGCAGGCTGGGGGTGGGCGCGCCCAGCGG